GCTCCTCTCCCAAAACATATACAAATGTTTAAATTTTCCCCAAACATTGGCTGAGTGAATCTATGAGCCTCGCGTGTCACAATTTGTCCAAACATGTCAGCGGTGACGAATGACCGCAACGCGGATCGCAGGTCAGACGAGCCTGAAACGCAGTCAGCGGTGACCAGAGAAAAAAAAAATCTAATTCCATTTTTGTGTGAACGAAACTTTGTGTAAATGCCGAGTCGGCACGCGCGAGTTCACTGAGCAAATACGCGTCGGCGGCTCCACCAATAACGCGGCGACGCTTCTTGTTTTTCTTTTTTTTCAGAATTCGGGGGGGAAATGGCGTTCGCTCCGCCCAAAAGCGCAGAGGGGGCGAAACTCCAAACCAAAATGAGCACCTGGACGCCGCTGAACAATCCACTCATGAATGACAAGGTGATGGAGCCGCGTGTATGTGATCCCTGGAGATAGAGAGGAAGTGTGGGGGCGGCGCCCTAATCTATGACAGGTTCTCTTTAAAGGATCAATCCGCCCAAAACTGACACCAATGATTGGTAGACGCGGGAGAGTCAGATCACCAATCAGTTCCTTCTGTCTGTCAGAGACTCTAATAGTGAGATCACAGCGCAGGGAAGGCGGGAACCGTGTCTGTACACCCGCTGTGCCCATTATGAGGGGCTCCCACCATCCCTGTGCTGAGTTCCCGGGTCTGTACACCCGCTCTGCCCATTATGAGGAGCTCCCACCATCCCTGTGCTGAGTTCCCAGGTCTGTACACCCGCTGTGCCCATTATGAGGGGCCCCCACCATCCCTGTGCTGAGTTCCCGGGTCTGTACACCCGCTCTGCCCATTATGAGGAGCTCCCACCATCCCTGTGCTGAGTTCCCAGGTCTGTACACCCGCTGTGCCCATTATGAGGGGCCCCCACCATCCCTGTGCTGAGTTCCCGGGTCTGTACACCCGCTCTGCCCATTATGAGGAGCTCCCACCATCCCTGTGCTGAGTTCCCAGGTCTGTACACCCGCTGTGCCCATTATGAGGGGCCCCCACCATCCCTGTGCTGAGTTCCCGGGTCTGTACACCCGCTCTGCCCATTATGAGGAGCTCCCACCATCCCTGTGCTGAGTTCCCAGGTCTGTACACCCGCTGTGCCCATTATGAGGGGCCCCCACCATCCCTGTGCTGAGTTCCCGGGTCTGTACACCCGCTCTGCCCATTATGAGGAGCTCCCACCATCCCTGTGCTGAGTTCCCAGGTCTGTACACCCGCTGTGCCCATTATGAGGGGCCCCCACCATCCCTGTGCTGAGTTCCCGGGTCTGTACACCCGCTCTGCCCATTATGAGGAGCTCCCACCATCCCTGTGCTGAGTTCCCAGGTCTGTACACCCGCTGTGCCCATTATGAGGGGCCCCCACCATCCCTGTGCTGAGTTCCCGGGTCTGTACACCCGCTCTGCCCATTATGAGGAGCTCCCACCATCCCTGTGCTGAGTTCCCAGGTCTGTACACCCGCTGTGCCCATTATGAGGGGCCCCCACCATCCCTGTGCTGAGTTCCCGGGTCTGTACACCCGCTCTGCCCATTATGAGGAGCTCCCACCATCCCTGTGCTGAGTTCCCAGGTCTGTACACCCGCTGTGCCCATTATGAGGGGCCCCCACCATCCCTGTGCTGAGTTCCCGGGTCTGTACACCCGCTCTGCCCATTATGAGGAGCTCCCACCATCCCTGTGCTGAGTTCCCAGGTCTGTACACCCGCTGTGCCCATTATGAGGGGCCCCCACCATCCCTGTGCTGAGTTCCCGGGTCTGTACACCCGCTCTGCCCATTATGAGGAGCTCCCACCATCCCTGTGCTGAGTTCCCAGGTCTGTACACCCGCTGTGCCCATTATGAGGGGCCCCCACCATCCCTGTGCTGAGTTCCCGGGTCTGTACACCCGCTCTGCCCATTATGAGGAGCTCCCACCATCCCTGTGCTGAGTTCCCAGGTCTGTACACCCGCTGTGCCCATTATGAGGGGCCCCCACCATCCCTGTGCTGAGTTCCCGGGTCTGTACACCCGCTCTGCCCATTATGAGGAGCTCCCACCATCCCTGTGCTGAGTTCCCAGGTCTGTACACCCGCTGTGCCCATTATGAGGGGCCCCCACCATCCCTGTGCTGAGTTCCCGGGTCTGTACACCCGCTCTGCCCATTATGAGGAGCTCCCACCATCCCTGTGCTGAGTTCCCAGGTCTGTACACCCGCTGTGCCCATTATGAGGGGCCCCCACCATCCCTGTGCTGAGTTCCCGGGTCTGTACACCCGCTCTGCCCATTATGAGGAGCTCCCACCATCCCTGTGCTGAGTTCCCAGGTCTGTACACCCGCTGTGCCCATTATGAGGGGCCCCCACCATCCCTGTGCTGAGTTCCCGGGTCTGTACACCCGCTCTGCCCATTATGAGGAGCTCCCACCATCCCTGTGCTGAGTTCCCAGGTCTGTACACCCGCTGTGCCCATTATGAGGGGCCCCCACCATCCCTGTGCTGAGTTCCCGGGTCTGTACACCCGCTGTGCCCATTATGAGGGGTACTTGAATTTTAGAGTCCATTGCTGTACCGCAGAGCTCAGACTGGAAGAGAGGGAAGCAGCATACGCATCCAGTCAGGTGTGCTACAATGCAAGGAGGGATCAGAGCGACAGAACGATGAGCTCATCAGTCTGCTGCTTCTCCTTTCACTGTCCAGTCACAGGCTGGGGGAGGGACAAGACCTGCAAGTGTTATTTAACTGCACTAGGGGGGAAATCAAGTCTCCTACCCTGCCAGACAGGGCTGTGCTGTGTGGCAGAGCTGCGTACATTTCAGGACTGGATGGACCGAAATGCAGATTCTTTAGCAGGTAAAACAGCTTTGCGCTTAATCTGTGTATTTAGCTGTGTGCCCGGAGGTCAGGTTTAAGTCTCTAGTTCGGTTCATTCCACATTTCTGAGCGAGCTGATTGGTCCGCATGAACAATGTGAGATTTACCGTGTGAACCTTTCTATTTACATAGGTGTTTGAAGAAAGAAGAGATTTGCTCGGGAAATGGGTAAGTTGGAGTTCTTCAGGTGACATCACATGGCAACGAGCTGTGAGCTCCTCTCCTCTACCATCACCTGTGTGTGTGAGGTCATAGGTCACCCCATCCCAAAATCAGGGGCATTAGTACGGAGTCCGTCCGCACCTCACGGCCATCACATCCTCCGCTCTTCCGGGACTGTCCCTCTTGGGGGGGTGTCTGTGGTCATTTGTCCCATTTGTGAGGTCATGTGCTGATGTTGGATGAGAAGATCTGACTGATAATAGGGGGTCCAATACACTCCAAAGGTCTCCAGTAGGGTTGAGGTCAGGGCTTTGTGGAGGCCCCCCAAGTTCCTCCACCCCAAATTGGTCGTCACAGTCGGTGTTCCAAGTCATCCCAAAGGTGTCCAGTAGGGTTGAGGTCAGGACACTCGAGTTCCTCCACCACACTGGTCACACCATGTCTTTAAGGAGCTGGCTTTGTACACAGGGGACCGTCATGGGGGGGGAACAGAAAAGGGTCTTCACCAAATTGTTACCGCAAGGCTGGAAGAGCCCAATTGTCTACAATATCTTTGTATGATGGAGTATTACCAGAACCTTCACTGGAGACACCTGAACTCAATGATTTGGAGGGGAGGTCCTTATACGTTCCGCCATATAGTTCTGTGTGACAGTCGGGTATCCTCCCAGTTTTGGATACATAGGTCGGTGTGATGGTCAGGTGTCCACATACGTCTGGCCATGTAGGCCAGAAGAAGGACCATTTAGCGGGGTTTATAGAGGTGAATCACGGTTTGCTGAATGACCCCCATCTATCCCTATCCTTCCCGATACACTGACACTGTGGCTGCTCTGTGCCCCCCTTTATAAAGAAGGGGGTATCTTATCCAAAAGCCCCCTCAGTGGCCCCTCTAAACCTGCTGATCATGATTTAAAGGCCAGTAAAATATTCCTATGTTAAAAAAAATGGGTATGTCTATGATTATGAGGTGGAGGGGCTTTTCAGTCATCTCATAGTTCGAGCCGACCTGTGACAATGAGACTGTCACAGGTCGGCTCAGTAGATCGGGAAGTGAGCGAACACATACCGGCGTTCGCTCACCTCTCGATCTATCCCTGCAGAGAGCCGTGACTGTCACTCACGGCTTCCTGCAGGGATTTCCCGCTCCGATCCTCCAGCGCTGACTGGCAGAATGGACGGGGGAGGGGGCGGGTACAGCTGGCTCTGCCTCTCGATAGGCAGAGCCAGCTGTCACTCACGCAGCTGGGTGAATCTCGACAGCATTGTCGGGATCCATCCCGGCTGCGGCGTGTATACCGCGGGCAATAGCTCGCTATATACTGAGCTTTGGGTCACAGGAGGAGGTGAGTATATTTCCTCCCGTGACCCTTGAGAGAACTATGGGGAAAAACACTGACCTCATACTTCTCTTTTGGCTAAAACGCGTCAACCGGGCTAATGATTTTAACTGGATGCAGAACCGCGTGCAAACACTTTTTCTTCTGTCTATGATGAAGGTTTGGTGGAAGCTTGGGTTCGGCGCCGGTGTTCCGTGGAACTGCATTGGAGGAAGGAGGAAGAGCACCCTCTGACTTGGGAGCTTATTATTTTAAAAAAATTGGACAAGGCGACAGGATTTGCCCCAAACTCAATGTCACAGCAACTCCGAACCTCATCCCAGTGTGGGGTAACTTTATTTTTGGCTCCTATGTTTCTAGTGCTTTCGCATAGCGTTTCGGGGCTCCGTCACATTCTGCAGCCGGGTCCACCTACAAAACTAACATTCCGTTCTTCATTCCATTGCAGAGAACAAAAGTCATCTGAAAAGATTCTTTTTTGTCGGGGTGGATTAGGAAGAGATGTGCTTTGCATAGGAAGAAGGACAAACATTTGTCCAGGATGATAGATAGGCAGAGCCCGCTGTCACTCACGCAGCTGGGCGGATCTCGACATCGATGTCGGGATCCGCTGCGGCGTCTCAGTATACCGCGAGCTGTAGCTCCCTATATACTGAGCCTAGGGTGACGGGAGGACGCTAGTTTGTGTCCTCCCGTTACCCTAAGGAGAACTATGGGGAAAAACACTGACCCCATAGTTCTCCTTTAAGGGATGAGTGCACTGGCAGACCTGAAAACATCACAGCACCCTGCCTCAGTACTTCTTTCAGGTCCCTCAGTCCTGATGCAAGCAGTGGGCTGGATCATGGGAGGAATTATGCAAATATCAAAAGCCTCGATGATTGGATGTTCCTAGTAGGCTTAATTTGCATGCAGACCACCCTAGGTAACACCCACATGTGATGATGAGCCTCCATGATTGAAAGAACTGGAATCCAATGGATGAAAGGGGCGGGGCCAGGGACGGTGAGGCCAGGAAGGAAAGTACTAGATGACACTGGATGCCCTCGATCTAGGAAATGCGGCGGAGCTCTATCTGACTTGCTGCAACTTCTAATGCGCATTGTGAGAAGCTCCCAGTGTGCAGTGACATCAGAGGAAGAGGGGAGGAGCCGGGACCACTGTGCAAGACTGAAGGGGAGGATGGAGGTCAGATAGAAGGCTGGAGGGAAGGACGGAGGTCAGATAGAAGACTGAAGGGAAGGACGGAGGTCAGATAGAAGACTGAAGGGAAGGACGGAGGTCAAATAGAAGACTGAAGGGGAGGACGGAGGTCAGATAGAAGACTGAAGGGAAGGACGGAGGTCAGATAGAAGACTGAAGGGAAGGCACAATATGGTGGTCAATCATTGCTGAATTTGCTCTCTTGTTATTTCCGCCTATGAAAGTTGTACGTTGCCTAGTGGTCACCAGTGAGGAGTGAGGAGAGGAGCATTGCTTGGATGGGTCCTCTTTGCTTTGTGAGGTCAGTTTAGCTTCATTCAGATTAATTGATGATTGGAGAACGTTTCCAGGGTGATCCCCCTCCCCCCCTCCCGGGGCTTCTGGAGCGATGACCTGTCACTCATTACAAGATGGCTGCACATTCCTGTGCTTGGGGAGTAAACTGAGAAGAAGGGATCTGTATAACCCGCGACACCACCTGCACCATGGAGGCCACAAACACCGAGCCTTTCATGTGACACCCAGGACCCCTATTCTGTCATTTCAAAGGATCAATACATCTGCAGCGCTAAACACCAATTACAACCAGTCTGATCCAGACAAGGGTCCTATGACATCATAGAC